CATCTTCCTCAGCCCTCGTTCCTCTTCCCTAGCCGCAGCTGTGGGGCTGCCACAGCTGCAGTCAGCAGCTCACCTCATGTTAACATTCATTTTGGATGGTAACTTTGAAGAACACTCTTTTCAGGAAAATTTTACCTCAGGTCAAGCTTCGGGGCCTACAAATAACAACATGAGATGGTGGCTGGCCAGCCTGACTGGAAAGCAAATGCTGCAGGGGCACACCTCTAATCCAGCCACCACACAGGCTGGGATCCCACAGGCACAGTGGGCTTCCCTCAGGTAATTGCCTAGTTACGAATACTTCTAACCAGAGAGCACTGCATATTTTTAAAAAAATTAATCCTCCATGCATTGTTTTTCTTGTTTTCTCCCACAAGAGGAAAGATACCAGAAAAAAAATCTTTGTCCTCACGTCAGTCTTTGTTACTCTTCTCAGTGGCATGTTTCCTTGCAGCCAGACTCTTTTCCCCTGCTGTTATTTTCAATAGCCTTAATGTTCCTTGGCCTCCAAATGTTAGGGAATATTATTTCCACTCTTCCATGTCACACAGTTAGCGTCACTGTTGCAGCCTTTCTATCGCTTGAGGTTTTATGGGCACTATCTCCAGTGCCTATAGAGTTATTTTCTTAGGTCAAAACCAGGCAATCTTTGTTTTCCAGGGAGGAGGGCTGTTTTTTAGCATCCCTTTTCATACTGTCATAATTTGCCCACTTGGCAGTCATCAGTGTTGCCTGTTTGATGCTGCCTTCACTCCTGACAGAGGAAGGCAAACTCACTCATACCACAGACTCGCTTCATCACTGTGACCATCTTGTCTTTTCCAGACAGCGCAGACAGTGCTTCTCGTGGTCACCGTGTTCCTGCTCTCCTGGCTGCCACACCACATCATCACGATGTGGGCAGAGTTTGGGCAGTTTCCCCTCAACGACATCTCCTTCACCTTCCGCATCATCTCTCACTGCTTAGCCTATGGGAACTCTTGCATCAACCCCATCATTTATGCTTTCCTCTCAGAAAACTTCCGCAAGGCCTGCCGGCAAGTCTTCACCTGCAAGTTCTTCCTGCGGCCAGTTCACACTAAGAAACTGGTCAGAATACGCATGGAGAACGTCTCTACCACACATTCAACCACTAACGTGTAAATTGGGCTCACAAATACATTTCAGGAGGAAGAGGAGGGGAAAAGATGCTGTCTGAGAACAGGTATACAAGTGCATTTCAGGGAGCAGTGCAGCCTGGAAAAATGTGGACTTTGACAGGTTACCGGAGTGGCAAGAGGCATTTTTCCATCTGGCTGTTAGGACACTTAACACAGTTTGTCCTAGGGTACCTTGCTAGGCACTAGGCTATGTGCAACAAGTATGTCCTTGTAGTGCCCATAAGATAGAACTTACATGCAGTTGTAGTTATGCCCATTAAGTCTAAAATCAGACTTACACAAAAGGTAGAATACAGACAGACAAGAAAAGAGCAGTTAATGATGTGCATAGACAGTCATTAGGATGTGAACAATGAGTGATGTGACATTTGGAGAGCACTGAAAAGCAGTTTTGGGAAAAGCCAAACTAAAAAGTCTTTGAATAAGTCTTTGTTTCTTAAACAAGTTTGACCATATGCGAGCTACATATATTTTTAGCTCACTAGCTGTGATAGGGTCTCTCAATCTCCTTGAAGGCTTTGCTATAGTATTTACCTATTGGGTAGTAAAACCTTTCACATGACATGTCAGGGATGTGGATGTCTGCATTTGGTAGCTCTGTATCAGCTTCTATATCCCGGGGTTTGAATGTCTGTGTGCTCCTGAATGTAATTACTGCTGTTTATCGCTGGCTCCAGTAAGTATCTCTTTGCGAGCAACAGTAAGAAAGCGGTCTTTCTCAATATATGTTTAAAAGAACTGTAGTTTTGTTTGAAAGTAATGTTTACAAAAGGCTTTATTGGTAAATATTGTGTTCTCTGAGTATATCTACCCAAAGCTTTTTATTGGCCACTTTAGTATATAAATACCAAAAGTTTGTTTTGTTTTGGTTTTTTAATAAACTGTTTTGATCAACAGTGCCCTAGCAACAATCAGTTTAGAGCATTTGTACCAAGTTCAATCTATAAAGTGCATATTACTTCAAAATTAAGAAGCATATGGCTAAAAGAACTTTATTATTTCACTGTGTTGTCTACTTTGGTAATATTGTACATTGCAATCTAGACTGACCTGTCATGGGATTCAGTGTAGCACGATTACAGATTCACAGACTACATTACTGAGTTTTTAGAAGTGAGCTACAGAAGTTAAACTACAAATTATACATCTAAAAACGATAACAAAACCACACAAATATAACCTTGTAGACCATCTTCAATAGCTTTTGTTATGGCCATCAGAACACATACAATTAATTTCTGTAACATGTGTAATACACCACTCATTTCTAACATGTATATTTTATACCTCATTGTCAAGTATGTCCACATTGCCTTTTATAATCTGGATAATGTATCAGAAGTCAACCTTCCTCCCATTTTACTTCCAAAACCTACTTTCTTATCACCAATGCCACTCAGTTACTGATACAAATTAAGCAGATTCATTAGTTATGAATGACCATTGCCACATAGCTCGACTGTGGATCTTGTGTCAGAAGTTATTGTTTATGTGACATCATTTAACTATTGTTAACTTTGGTTGCATTATTTAGCTGGAAACTGTAGGTAATAGAGCAAAGTATTATAGTACATAACATCTGCAACAATTATGAAATTTTAGGCCAAAAATCTGATTGACTTAGTCCTGTATAACAGCTATATGAGAAGACAAATAGTTGAAGTCAGACATCTGAGATCCCAAGCAACAATTTTCCTCAGAAACTTGAAAGGGCAACTCTGTATATTGAACTGGGAAGCACGGTCACCATCACCAGCTGCCTCAGGAAAGAAAGACTCTATGAAGCAGGCAGTAACTTGGTATTTATGCTAATACAGTGAAGCGCTACAGCTTTGAAAAAGATCAGATTGAAATTATATACTTGAGATGGAGTCAGCCTGAAATTGGTTAGGCAAAGCAGGCAAGCAAATATTAAAATTTCTTACTTGGAGTTTCTTGAATACAATTTACCTCATTTAAATTAATCTATGTGTCTACAGTTAAAGGAAGCTATTTCTCAGCAGTTCAGATGACCTGATACAACGTAAGATGCATATTAACAAATGGAAATAGGATCTTCTGTAAATTATACTACTAGATTGTCCTCAGATTTCTGTTTAAGGATTTACCCTACTTCTGTACATGAACAGTGAGCTTCTGCTTGTGGACACATGAATTGCCTGATTTGCAGTTAAATGAACTACAGATGAGAGGCAAGTAGCCCATGCAACGAACAGGTCCAAAATATAAAGGTTTCCAGTTTCCAAGTGGATCACTTTTCCACTGCATTTCTATAAAGTTGAAAGCTTTCTATTATATTAATTTTACCGCAGCTTGTAACTTCCCCTAAGAGTCCCTTAATGTACAATATGAACAGAGTACACACGTACAGTTTCTAGGAAAAGGTTATACAGCCTTATCCTGTGATTATCAGTGGAAGTTGTCTGTTTGTTTAGTTTTTACTCTCAGTATACTAAGAGTAGCTCTGGCGCCTTATTTCCTCTGAAACCAATGATTTAGATACTACAGCACGATCTTTTCATTTAACAGCTTACTATTTCTACATAGTGAGTTCTAGCACAGGAAAAACCACCACTAAAAGGCAGGGCTGTGATAAATCACTGCAACAGAAATCAGAGCTAAAATGCTATTTCTGTGTGATTATTTACCATGGATACAAACTAGCAGCTAGATATGAAATAACCTCAGCCTCACTTTTAACCCTTCTAGTTTAAAGCAGAAAAGAACAATGATATTCAAAAGCAGTCTTGTACTCACTGTGTTACCTGTGAGTCATTAGAACCTGTGAGTCAACACACTTCTTTCCTTTAACAGGAGACATTTTTTGGTGGCATTTTTTGTTTGTTTGTTTTTACAATCAGTTCAGAGACTGGACATGTCACTACAGCATGCAGGAAAAAATGAGCATAAAACACTTAAAGGCTTTTTTTTTTATTTAGTAGAACATGAAGCAGCAAGATCCCCTTTCTCAGTGAAAGGTAACCATAAAATGACAGATTAAGACCTTGAAAAAAGCCTCAAGCTTTACTGTGCCTTCTCGTTCCCACCGAACTTTAGAGGTATCTGGTCTAGAATTCTCAGAATGAACTGCTACACAACAAGAAAATCAAATATAATTTGTCCTTTAGTCTTTCTACATGTATCTATAATTGGTCAAAGTTATATGAAAGTTAGGAAAATATTTTCTTTTTTCTTCCAGCCACAGTAGTAGTTTTTAAGTTTTAATAATGAATGTTTAGCTGCTGGTTGTGGGAAGCAATAACATGCAAGAGAGCTGCACGTCATACAGACATACTTTCATTCTGATTTGAATTGAAGTTGAAAGTCTCAACAAAATTAAACAAAGTCAACCGATGAGATCATTCTTCAGTCTTCTCCAAAGGCATTTTGTTACTCACTTACTAGCTTCCTTTTGGAAAGCCATGAGTTGCGATGCCTATGGAAATGGCTATTGCAGCTTCTAGAACAGTAGACAAAGTTAACCTCACCACCTGGTTCTGAAACTCAATTCTCTATTCTTTCAGTCTAGCTTACATACAGCAGCTCATTTGCTCTGCCTTGATGACTTCAATCTTCGTCCCTACCAGGCCATTTATTACTGCTTGGCAACCTGAATCAGCCTCCTTTAGGTGGAGGCATATTAATAGAGGAGTCCATGCCTGGGAGACCTGTCCTTTTCCGGGCTGCAGTCTCTATTTTCCGCACCAGGTCCACATCCCACTGATGGGTGACAAAACTAACCACAGCTCCAGGTGCCTTGCTTCCAACCCGTCCAACTCGTCCCACACGGTGCAAGTAGTCCTGCAGGGTGTCTGGGAAGTCATAGTTGACCACTAGCTGCACACTGCTGGTGTCCAGCCCCCGCGAGGCAAGGTCAGTGCAGACAAGGACAGGCACGTCACCCTTCTGGAAGGAGGTGAAGATGCCAGCTCTAGCAGCTGCTGACATCTGTCCCTGCAACCTCAGGTGCTTGATTTTGTGGTCATCCAGGATATAGCCCAGCCAGTTGACAGTGCTGGCACTGTTACAGAAGATGAGAACAGCCCCGCTGGACGCTGGGTGGTCCTTGAGTAGGTGCAGCAGTTCTGGCAGCTTGTCCCGGCCTTTGAGGCGGACAAACTTCTGCAGGACGTGGGGTGGCAGGCGGTGCAGGCTCTGGGTGGTGAGGGTGACAAACCGGCCCACGTCGGTGAACTTCCCCAGCATCTGGCTGAGCCCCACGGGGAAGGTGGCTCCGACCACCACCACCTGGGTCCTCGCCTCCCCGGGGCCGGCCGGCTCGGGGGCGCCAGCAGCCAGGGGC